TTTCAAAGTCAATGAATAATCGCATTTAATAATCACAATTACAATTATTGACCCAAATAATCGAGATTATGATTTTTGCCATAATCGAGCAGCCCTAGCACAGCTTCATCATCGGTCCACAGTTTTGTCGAACTGCTGTATTTGATTAACTTTATTTGTTTAGCCTATGGGCTCACAATGAGCCAAATGTGTATAGTGAAAAGCAGTACAAATGTTTACATGAAAAATACAGCAGGGCATATACTGTATGTATACACTGAAAAAACTGAAACGTTGACTTCAACTTAATGCATTATGTCAACAAATTTCACATGCAACAAGATAAAGTTGAACCTATTTTTTTTTGTTGCTTTTAACTAACAATTATGTGAAACTGTTGAAATAATACATTTAATTAAAGACCACGTTTCAGTTTTTCAGTGTACAAGGTTGAGTGAGAGGGTTACAAAAACACACTCATCATGTCTACCTAGCTTTCTACTGCAGTCTTTCTCTTATACTAAAATACAACAGCACATGAGTGTTGAATGTGGTGGATGTTCTGCTTTGTATAATGAGTTGACGCAAGCAGCTGCACTTGTTAACATCTTGTCACAATTAGCTTTAGAATTAAATTAAAACAAAAGTAATATCAAGGTGAAATTACATGAAAGCAACGCGGTTAGAACAGAGCCTTGAAGCGCTAAAGGAACGCTGAGACAAGTTGGAGGATAGAGGAGCGAAGAGGCACTGAAATCAACACATTTCAAAGGGTTGGTGAGACATTACACTTGAAAAGGATCAAGAGGTTGAAGTCATGTTTAATAACCCTTATTGAATTATTCTGATTAAAGCAGACTTCCTTGCAATTTCATGCACATATCATCTACTTTCTCCAAGAGGTTGCACCATAAACAAAACAAACCCTCTTCCCAGTTGTCTGACTGGCAGTGTATTATGACAATACTAACAGGAAACAGAATTTGATAATAAACTTAATAAAGTAATTTTTACATCTAAAAATGTGTTCTTCTAAAATCTTATACTTAAGTATAATTTAGTGTTACTTTTACTTTACTGAAGCATTTGATGTTACTCTATTCTTTTTAATTTTGGAAGGCTATATTGTACTTTTTACTCACATATATTCGACAACAAGAGTTCATATTATTGTGGTAACTTTAAAGATTCAGATTAGTAAAACAAATTAACTAATAAATTATGATGTGTTGTTATGGATTAAGCATCCTGCAGTATATAAACTAGTTAAAGCTCCACCAGCTGCAACAATAGTGAAGTTTACACAGGAATGCATGCATCACTAAATATAATCCGGGTTACATAACTGTATTACTCTGAAAAGATCAATTCTGTACAGGAAGTTATTTACTTTTGCACCTTAAATGCAGGATGTCTCACTTGTATTTGTTTTACACAGGGGACACTAATGTAGGGTAATTTACCAGAGGTGGAAGATGTACTCAGATATTGTACTTAAATATAAGTATAATTACTACTACAGAGTGCTTCTTTAACAACTGTTCACTGGTAAATGCTACTAGACAACCCGACAGTAATTCAACAAATAATGAACTGTGTATCCCTGCCTCCTATTTATCTACTACGGTCATTTTGGTCTATAGTTGTGCACTGAAATATCACACACGTAGCATACGTGTTGGAGAAACATTTAAATCCATTTTAAACGGTATCTGTCCTTCTGTATAAACATGACGTGAACTAGGATACGGTTCCAATAGTGTTAATAACACCAGCTTGCTGTCTTGTTAAGTATATCAGGAATGCTATGTCGATTGTGATCGAAGTTGAGTAATTTTACTAAACGGCATCTTTTTTAACAAAAGGATTCGAAAACTGTGCGTACATAGCTAAACGATATAACATTAACAATTAAATACTTGCAAATAGACCGTGTTTCAGTCGATGTTGGTTAATGTTGATATCCTCATGTGCCGTGCCGTGCTCGCGACTAAAACAAACGTGCCTTCTCTGCTACGTCATCAGCGTGCGACGAGTGTTGACAATCACTTTAGTCGAAGAAGAAGAAGAAGAAGAAGATTACAGGCACTGTTTTAATGTTTTTTAATGTGTGGCCGTCTTTAAAAAGTCTACAATTGAAAATGTGAAAAGAAGACAACATGGCGACTAGAATGCTGAAGCGAACCGGCCTTTCAAACGATGTATGTGAGCAACTTAAACGGCATCACATAGAAAGTTGTAAGGATCTGTTGTCTCTGACTCCTTTAGAAGTGATGCACGTTGCATGCCTGAGCTACCAAAAAGCTATTGAGCTGCTGCAGTCAGTGAGCAAAGCTGTTGCACCGCCAGTAACCACGGCTCTGGAGCTGTGCAAAAAACAGGCCTGTTTCTCCACTTCCTTGCCTGCTTTGGATACACTTCTGAGAGGGGGCCTTCCCTGTGGGACCATCACTGAGGTGACAGGGCCCTCAGGCTGTGGGAAAACTCAGATATGTTTAATGCTGAGTGTTTTGGCCACCATGCCAAAGAGTGAGGGTGGCCTGGACAGCGGTGTGATCTACATCGACACAGAATCCGCTTTCTCTGCTGTGAGGCTGGTGGAGATCGCACAGAGCCGGTTCCCAGACTACTTCAACTGCAGGGAGAGAGTCCTAAACATGGCTGGGCGAGTGCTTCTCTGCAGGGATCTCACCTGTCAAGATGTCCTCAACAGACTAGATACGCTAGAAGAGGACATCATCTCATCAGGAGCAGGTCTCATCATCCTGGACTCTGTGGCCTCAGTGGTGAGAAAGGAGTTTGACACGACGTTGCCAGGTAACCTGATGCATCGCAGCGACCTGCTGGGTCACGAGGCCTCCACTCTGAAATACCTGGCACACCAGTTCAACTTACCGGTGGTTCTCACCAACCAGATCACAACTCATTTAGGGGGTCATGGATCTGAGGATGCTGGGTTTGTGACAGCGGCTCTGGGTAACACCTGGAGCCACAGCGTCAACACACGTCTTATTCTCCAGTATGTGGACTCACACCAGAGACAGATTCTGATAGCCAAGTCACCTGTGGCTCCATTTGCGGTGCTGAACTACACCATTGAGAAGCAGGGAATCTGTTTGGATGGAGACGAAAGTCAGGAGACCTTGTATGAGGGCACAGATCCTGGACTACAGCCAATCAGGGTGCAGACTGGATTCACTTATAACCTTACCCAGCCTATGTGACCAAACACTGTGACCCATGTCATGTGTATGTGTCTGTGTCTGCAAATGGTTTGTTATTGTTTTATGGAGAGGCTAATAGAAAAACATTTGTATTTGAATAAACCCAAAACAAGATTTCACAGAGTGCAGAAAGTTATTTACATAAAACATATTTCTTTATGCAGGAAACTGCCTACTGGAAATAAATCTTCATATGATTTTCACGAAAAATAGAACATGTACTATATTTGTAAACAATGAAAAATCACACAAATGTTTTTTTTTTTAAATATGTATTCGTTTGTATTTCTTTATGTTTCTCCCACCGCAAGTAATCACCAATGTCCAATTTCCCCGCTATAGGTTTGCAAGGCTTCCATCCTTCTCATAGAAAATAATAAATGTATTTATTTCTGAAAAAAACTACATGCATAGTTATTTTAGCCATTTGCAAAATATTGGTCTGTTTTCATTTTTCCAGCTGTTTTCTATTTTATTAAAAATACAAGCTTAACATTTTATTTATTTTTTATTGATAGTTGCCAAACCTTAAATTATTACCGGAATAATTCACTGGATAAAACAGAATACAATGAGCTTGATCTAACAGTTTAAAAGTCATCTCTTGAGAAATTACAACAACGTGACATTTGTTACACTATTAAATAAATAAAAATGTGTTGCAATATTGACTTAATTGAATAAAGGTTTCATTATGATTTAAATGAAAAAGAAAATAACTCAACAAAACAACATTGCATTCTCATTTACCAACAGCAGGTGGCACCGTAATACCATATGAGCTTTTCACAACAGCCTGTATGATTTTCTGAAAAACTGAGCAATCATCAGTGACCTGCACTGGCCACTAGGATGCTGTAACTGGAGATTCTGGAGAGAGACCTGAAGTTTGAGGCCTAATTGTCTAAAAGGGTGACAATAGATTATTTCTTAAGTATTTATTTTCTCAAACTTTTCATGCACATTTAGTCGTGATATCAGCATAGGCTATATGTAACTAATTGGTGTTTATAATGTGTCAGTCAATTCTTTATCACTAAACACTGAGTTGGCCTTGTGTATTCTAACTGATGCAACACCGTCACTGATAAACAAATCATCGACAGGAGGCGCCTAGTTCTCTTATCTTGTCTTGCAAGAAGCGGACAGATATCTCTCGTGTTCTAACTGAAGGTTCTTTTTCAAATTAGTTTTGTGTTTTTCATTAAACGTGTGTATGAATTGCCAATAGACTAGATAATAATAATTCAAGTTATTGTTTGTATTAGTTTGGAGATCCAACCGAATTACTACATACCCTTACGCAAAACCTTTTTTTCGGATAAAAATGTGTTGAAGCCAATGTTACATTTTATAATTCACATATAATAAAAGTGCTATTAATAGTTTTATATTGATTTATTGTTCCCTTGGCACTCCAACAAGTAACGATGGTGCGTTTTTAACTTTGTAGTAACTGTGTATATCACAATTTGAAGCCCTTGGTCTTTCAATTTTCAGTTTTTGCAATGCAGGTTTTCCATAGCATGCACTTTCTGTTTCAAGGTGACATACTGTAGGTTGCATGCTGCTGCGTAATTCCGTTACTTCTTGACATGACATGTAGGCTAAATTAAATTAAATGAGAGGTTAGAATGCAGTCATGCTGGAGGGAGAGAGAGAGAGAGAGAGAGAGAGAGAGAGAGAAAGAGAGAAAGAGAGAAAGAGAGAGAGAGACATTGATCCACAGTGTTGCGGCATGGCGGCGCATCTAAACTCCTCCCGGTCATTGCGCGGACATCATGTGGCTAACACCAGCCCGACACTCACCGCTCGCAGGGGACCCTATATAAGCCGTGCAGCTGTCAGGTGGAGGACACTGACTGCTCTGTGCTCAGGGACGACTTGCTTTAGGGAATAACACAGCTCATCCAAACTCTAACAATGGCTCATGCATGGGGATACGCTGCGAACAACGGTGAGGCACTAATTGCAAGCTATAATGATGGGGTGACATTATTGAGAGAAATTATAAAACCTGCAAGTCTATGAATTAATTGGAGAATGTGATCACTGCAGATATTTTTTATTCTGCACAGTGTTTACGTTCTTTTCATCATTGCGCATCCCCAGACGCGCAATTTCTTTAATTAAAATCCCATTGAAATATCTCTATAATCACACTTTTGTTATTATTTTATTTTCAGGACCCGACAAATGGGTTTCAAACTTCCCTATTGCCGATGGACCCCGTCAGTCTCCCATTGACATCCTACCTGGTGGAGCATCATACGACTCCGGGCTGAAGCCCCTCAGACTGAAGTACGACCCCTCCAACTGCCTTGAAATCCTCAACAACGGACATTCCTTCCAAGTGACCTTCGCAGATGACAGCGATAGCTCAAGTTAGTGTGACATTAATATTTGATGAATACAGACGCCCGTTGGAGACGTGATATCACCGCTCAAGAATCTAATTTAAAAAGGGCATTACAATATATCCTCTATAGCCTGCCCTGGAGAAAGACAAAATGTCCCTATATTTCGACTAACATATTGCAATGTTTGAAAATGAAATAGAGGAGCTATACTAATATTGGTTTGCAAACAAAGGCAATCAATCAAAAATGTCCTCATGATGATACGCCATACGGGATGCAGCAACCTGCAAATGCGGCATTCAGGCGTTATGCGTCCTGTCCGTTAACAGAAGCTCTCACAGTGTGCACAATTGAACTGCATGTTAATAGAATGTTAGCATGTATTTTTGATGCATGAGTAATGCGCCCCAGTTTCCATTAGCGCTTACAGGTTGTTTATTTTAATATAGGGATGAAACAAACGGACATACATTTATATTTAGTTGTATTAGATTGTATTTATTTTTTGTTTTTTAAATGTTTTAATTGGATTGAATTAATTGAAGGGCGTTCCATTCAGCCGAGCACAAAGAATGCATTCTAATTGAATTGGCAATGTAACACCGCAGTAAACCTTTCCCACGCCAAATTATTTCAGCTGCTAGTGAGGTCAAAAGCGCAAAAATCGAAATTACTCTCCAAACAAACGCCGGTTTGGTTCAATTTTAGTGCACCAAATGTGCATGGGATTGAGTAACCACATGAATGACGCTTGATTTTTTTCCCAAAACTATAATGTAAAATGGAGATTGCATGTTCCTCTATTTTTATTTCATTGCATTTCCATTTATATAACATTTTATTTCAGAAAGAGACAAATAATAGGGTTTAGGATTTGGATTGGTTGTTATTTGGGTGACCTGATAGAGAACAAAGAAGAGCATGGTTGCATAACCAACACAACGGATTATTTCGTGTGGACACTTATCAAAAACAAAAAAACATACACTGCTAAAATCATGAGCTTCTTTATTCTTTCTTACATTTTGCTGCACTTATTTTCCATCATGCCCTTCTAAATAAAGCACATCATCATACATCATGTCATAGATAGATCATGTGCACAGTGGAAAACATGAATATCAGTCTTTATTTTTATTTTTGTCGAAATCCCTTTCAGTCCTGCACACCATTACTTCTTGAGATCAGTAATGTGTTTTCTTATCATTTGAGGCTGACTACTGAGACACAAATATTCTGAGCGGCCAGTTTTCTGTTAGTGACTCAGTATTTGGTAACAATGCACCAGAAATAGCACACGTTGTTTCTGTATCTGCTACAGTGTCGCTACAATGTAAAAAGATGGATTATGCATAACATTGGAAGGATGTTTGATGTTAACAATACCTGGACATCATTTAGGACATATTGTACCCCTTCAATTTGATCTTATGCAACAGGAAGTCAGTCTCCCTCCAAGATATAGGATGTGTGTGTGTGTGTGTGTGTGTGTGTGTGTGTGTGTGTGTGTGTGTGTGTGTACTTCTTTCCTTCAACGTTTAAAACTTGGATGTATCACTGTATTGTTTTATAAGACCGTCTCATTTTGGCCAATTACAGCCCTATCCACGTTAAGTATGGGATTAACTGAGGGAGATGTTTGTTTATTCTGCAGCTCTGAAAGAAGGACCCATCTCAGGGGTGTACAGGCTCAAGCAGTTTCATTTCCACTGGGGAGCATCTGATGACAAAGGCTCTGAACATACCGTGGCTGGGACCAAGTATCCTGCTGAGGTACGGTTGCTCTGAGCCATTATGGTGACCATTATACTCAGAAAGCTGTAGTATCTGACAAATTGGGGTTGACATTCAATATTAACGAAACCATTTTCTGTCCCTTTATGTTTGCCAGTAAACAACTTAGTTAGCATTTTCTTTTGCTTGTTATCTGTCATTTTCGCCTTAACTCAACCATTAAAGCTATTTAACCCCAGGGATGTTTGTATTTGACTTCAATCTGTGAGGAAATTACATTATTTTGATCTATTTATTTTATTTTTAGCTCCATTTGGTGCACTGGAACACCAAATACCCAAGCTTCGGTGAGGCTGCAAGCAAGCCTGATGGGCTCGCTGTTGTTGGAGTATTCCTGAAGGTCAGTAATAACGCTTAAAGCATGTCAGTATTACTGTAGTCAGCAACTTTTCCTGTACTACTACTGGTAATAATGATCACTATAATAACATGATATTGTTGTTTTTTTCAGATCGGTGATGCAAATCCCAGTCTCCAGAAGGTTCTCGACGCCTTCAATGACATCAGGGCCAAAGTATGTTTCCATAAAGAACATAATGCATTAGCAATTCATGATTTAAAATGAGGTTTTCCACTAGCCTGGTTTTTTTCTTTATTGATTTCAGGGCAAGCAGACCTCTTTCGCTGACTTCGACCCTTCTACCTTGCTGCCTGGTTGTCTTGACTACTGGACATATGACGGCTCCCTGACCACACCCCCCCTGCTGGAGAGCGTTACCTGGATTGTCTGCAAACAGCCAATCAGTGTCAGCTGTCAGCAGGTATGGCTAGCTCACAGAGGCCATTCAGCGGTAGCACAAGCATTGGCTGTGTGCCCACGGTCTAGAATAGCAAATCCTCTCTTCCATTTAGATTGAAATCAAGGACCTAATTGTTCAGATTAGCTACGTGGCTTAAACGAAAAGAAGAACCTCTGTTAAGGGAGGAAAGGCAATACAGGCAGCTATTTCACCTTTCATATGGATAACAAGTCGCGAAACGAGAGTTCACACATATGCTGTTGCATTACCACAGCATTTCTTTTTTTGTAAGTAATCAACAGGAAATATTGTCCCCACACATGCATTTTGCACTTTAGATAAATATACTTAGTCTTAGTCAGTGGGTGATTCTCTATATAACTACACATCATACCTGCATTTGCCAAGTGTTTACTCCTAAAATTACCCATAATCCTACCACTGAAATAGAGATTTTCCTTCCAACCAAGCATTCATCCAAACTAACAGCCCCTCCAGGAAGGTTTGTCCTTGTGATTGGAGTCTTTAGGCCATGTTAGAATAAACACTGCTTGCTCAAATGTTTATTTCATGGAGGCGAGTAGGTGTCTCAAGGGTAAAAATGTGAGACGTGTTGACATAACCTTTAGACTTGGTGCTATTTAAGTCGGTCAAGCGGATAATGACAACACAAGTTGTTGATATAAAGTAACACATATACAATTCATAAATGGTTTCAGGTAATACACAATTAGCTTAACTATTTTGTCCCAGTAGAGAATAGTTATCCAATGTGTATATTATACTCATGTGGCTGAAGAGTTAATGATAAGTCATTTGACACTGTGCTGTAACGGTTGACTCTTGTTTCCAGTCTGACTTAAATAGTTTGACAAAAAATGTGTGTAATTCTTTATGATAAGCCAACAGACTGCTAGCTGTAGCTTTATACTACTGTACAGACATACATGGTATCAATCTTCTCATATACTGTACCTTACAGTAAGAAAGCAACTATTTCCCATAATGCTTCAACAGTACAGCTGCTAGTACACGACTCTGAATAGAAGTCAGTGACTCGGCACGCAGTGAGACTAGTTTGCCTAGTGACACAGGAGGTCATCAGCAATGACTAACGCAAGTCTTCTCCTTTTTCACAGATGGCCAAATTCCGCAGCCTGCTCTTCTCTGCTGAGGGTGAGCCCGAGTGCTGCATGGTGGACAACTACCGCCCTCCCCAGCCTCTCAAGGGTCGCCCTGTCCGTGCTTCCTTCCAGTAATACCCCTTCCCCCCCTTTTTACCCTTTCTGCCCTGTTGCTCTCTCCCTCCCCCCTCCCTTTAGTCAGAGTTACCTCTTTTGCAGTGCGCCACAAAGCACACATGTCTCTCTCTGTCCAATTTTTTAAAATAAATGAAATTCCTGTGGCCCATTGCTTTTTCACGTTGGGCGCTCTAGCTGTGAGATGAAGCCCTTGCCATATTTGGATCTCTGTTTTTTAATGTATGTAATGAGCCAGCACAGATTCCCTGTCATAATTCATTTTAAAAGACAAGCACTTCACGATGGCTACGGCACGTTTACCAGGATTCAGCATCTGGTGCCAATGTTTTCAGAGACATAACACTAGTGTGTGTGGGTCTTCCTTGTGTCAACAAACAAAGCAAGGATATGGATTTGAGTTTAATAATCTATATAGTGCTTTCGAACCACCATGGAGTAGACAGCACATGATAGGGGGGAGGGATAAATCTACATCACCATCTGTGAGGAGGGTAAGGTGCAGATCAAAGACGCAGACACATACACTCCTGCTGCCAGTCTGGCAGTAATCTCTGACCGACTGCCAGCCTCTGCATCCCTGCAGCTTAATGAAAAGCTGCAGCCGCCTCCATCACAACCGATTGAATCAGAAAATCCCCCCCTGGCACGCACACACACACACACACACAACGTGGCACGCACGGTCTCATCCAGACATGATGCCTATAGGCACTGACCTGCTTATTGATTTGAACATAGTGTAAAGCAACAAAGGACATGAGGACAGTCTTTTGCTAAGTGCTAGTTACAGAACATCATAGCAATTGTTCAGTTTTTACAGCCTAATCTACAAATCTGTCTTGTGTTTGCCATCATGTGTTGTGTGTTATTATCATTGTGAATTCTGTATTTTTCATTAAGCCTGACAGCTTATGCAAAATAAGTCTTAACTTAGTCCTAAATTGTGTTTTTGTAACCAAAAGCCGATCTGTGTTGTTGATGCCCAGATAGTATAGCAATACAGACGATTGTTTCTGTTTTAAAAAAAAATTAAATGTAATGTGTGAATTCTTTTCATGTGTTTTTTTTAAACCCCAATGTGTCGAGTGCTAATGCTTAAAACGCACAGTTGCCCTTGTGGGCGAAGCCATAGTGGCCAATGCACAAAGCCAAGGAATAAATTACCCTGCCAAGGAAGACAAGGAAGAAAAGAACCTGCCAACAGATCAGATTATAGTGTCAGCCTGGTGTCAGGCCCTGTATAGGAGAATAATTAACAAAAGACCATGACAGGTCCTGAAGATGTCTGGTCCTATACCCCGGTAAGCATTTCTGAAACTATAAAGAAGTTTGATGAAAATGATGTGAAATAAAGATTGCAATTAACATAAAACATAAATGCGCCTTATGCCAAATCAATGTTAGGGCCATCCCATGAGTATGTGCTGTTGTCATTCTATTTTGGAAGTGGACGTTTTACTAGTTCAATAAAGTATTTTTGTGACTAACAATCAAGTGTTTTCTTTCTTGAAATCAGTTATGATTATCAGACGTACAAGTCTTCTTTGGGATGTCAAACTGTCAGCTGTTTGTGAAAATTCCTCTTAGTGACTCAATTTGTAACTGTCAACACCTTAAACCTAACAGTATTAGAATTACACAATCCCATAATTCATGCTGTCAACATTTAGTGTGTAAGATTCCTTTATGTATCCAATATTTACATATTTTCAACTAATCTGCACCAGTTTTCAGATGAATAATTTCAAAATGGAAAACTCCAACTTCCTTCTCAGAAGAAGGAGTCTTGAGCCAGGTATTTGCTGTTTACATTAGAACCATAGGGATATAGTCTAGTTGCCATCATAGGAAACCCACACATTTATACCTACAATTAGCCTACATTGCGTTCATTGAAATGAATGGCATTATAGCCAATGTAAACATAGTTTTAAAATTACTTGACCGATTCAAAACATTTCGAGTGGTTTGGGGGCTTATTAAGGATGCTGAATCCATCCATCAGGATAAAACAAATTGCAGTTTTAAGCACAAAGTGGCCATATTTGTACTCTCGGTGGGCTGATTCTTACTACCATGAGCAGTGTAGCGACCATCAGATATAGAGAGCACAAGATGAATAGTATTATCTTTACTGTGGAAACTTTTTCTTCAAATAAATAGGAAATCTGTCCAATCCAAATAAAATAGAATCGGAGGGATGAAACCCTCTTTAATGGTCACACAGTGAAATGTGGCCTCTGCATTTAACCCATCCTAGTACCAGGAGTCTAGTACTAGGAGTCCCCTAAATCTTCCAAATCGCCCCAAAATCAATCAAAATCAACCCACAAGTCTTATTGACATTTTACGGTTTAAACTGCAATTTAAAATTCTCTCAAAATGCATCATATTTGATAAGATGAACATGTTTGCATGCAAAATATAAAATATGTCAGCATTCTAAAATATTAGATGTAAATACTTGGCTGTTGTATATCTACAGCATTTTAATGGGTGTGCTTATTATTTGTCACTATTGCCCTTATGAGTAGCACATTCGGAAACAGTAGCTCAAGTTTTTGGATTTTGTAAGTACTTGGGAAAATGCCTGGCAAGATTAGGCTGCATATAGTCCAAAGTACTGCACTGTGTCATAGGGGAAGCTGTATTTCCGCATTGGAGTAGAGCTGACCTAATACCAAACTGTGTGTAATTATTTTAGGTAATCAATCTTTAACAGCAAACAGAACATGGTCATTAAGGAAAAACATATACATATATAACAATATATTATTGCATATATACAATATTTATCATGCTGGTTTTACTTCTATAGTGAAAAAGAAATATGACTGCAATCACATGGATGGCAATTGGTGATCATCGCCCATAGCTGCTAACACCTCAGTCTTCTCAAGACTTTAATAATCACCCTGTGTGAAATGTGAGCCAAGACACTTCACCCAAATTTGGTCCTGTGGGTATTGTCCACATTACATGATCGTTACATGTCTGATATGTGTGTAATGTGTACTTGTAAAGCGCTTTGAGGACTTTGAGGTGTGAAGATGGGCGGATTGTCGCAGTGGGCTGTGCGTTGATCATCAGATCAAGGGGGCGTTGGGGAACACCAGTTCGAAACCCGCCGCCACTGCGTCAGGCCGTTGTGTCCTTGGGCAAGACACTTCACCTGAATTTGCTCCTGTGGGTATTGTCCACAGTACATAACCGTTACATGTCTGATATGTGTGTAATGTGTATCTGTAAAGCGCTTTGAGCTCTGGAAAAGAGCTATAATAATTGTAATGAATTGAATTGAGCGACACTTGACTTCCCACTTCCTCTTTGAACCTTTAACAGGAAGTTGAGACAGATTTTAATCAACAGAGCTCTTCTGCTTGAGGGTTGGTGTTACAAGTATGTCAAGCTGGTCTGTGTGCGTCCCTGATGTAAAAGTTGGCTTGCCCATGCAGATCTAAATGTGTCCTTGTCATCCCCCGTCAATTTGTACCCTGAGTCATGCTGATGTGGAACATGCCCTAGAAAATGTCAATAAAAATAAGAGCAATGGACTACTGACTACTATGTCTGTCTGGCCAACCCGGTCAGAATCAATAACAAAAAAAAACCTTTGATTAAGATCTGAATGGAAAAGTTTGTTTGGCTTCACATGTTATCAGTAGTGGTGACACTTTCCGTAAACAGATTTTTTTAATATACGCCGTACAGTCTGTAAAGCCCCCTGACACAAATTTGTAATGAATGATTTTGGGCAATCTAAATAAAAATTGATAGGCTGATTTGATCAAAATCCAAAATCAGTTGGATTCAACGTTGACCTAAGAGCAGCTGCTCCCTGGTAGACTGAATCAAAGTTAGCTAGGTTCATTCTGGCTGGCTCGTACTGTCATGTAACTGAGGCATAAATCATATGACCGAACTTCACATCTTTATTTACAGAGGTGATTTGATGGGGCAGCTGGCAGGTGGACTAACAGGTTAACCTAGCCAGTTTTCCTGGAGAAAAGGCCAATTCTTGTAGACTTGTGAGCAATCTTGTTTTAGGAGATGGAAGCACGAAACCTGACAGAATATGGGGGGGATCAGAAGAAGACTGGCTGTTGGTGCTTAGTGCAGGGAGAGAAGATGAATTGTAAAGGATGGGCAAGGGTGCAGCGGGAGAGACAGGGAGAGCAGAGGGTAGAGAAACAATCAGACAAAACCAAAACACACCAAGCACACCTCGCTCAAACAAAAGGCTGGAAATAATAAAACAACACTCAAGCACAGGCTGGTGTCACAGGGAAGGAGAAAGGGAGGAGGGACCATGACAGGCTTCTCCCATTAGTATAAGCATCAGTGTACATTATAATTGTTATTATTATATTACTTTATTTTTTATTACAGTTAAAATATATAATTTGTTTTCTTTTTTTATATTTTCTTTATTTACCATTCACCCTATAGTCTCCACCCCAGACTAACTGTTTAAGAAACCATTTTACATTATTTTGTTGTCCGGTTTGAGTTTTGTCGTGCAGTAAATATATTATAAAATCAACATTTTAAAATGTGTCCATTTGAGAATGCCACTGAGCCTCTTGTGTGTGCGAATGGGCCTTGTGTGTCAAATAAGGGAGGACTATTTGTATTATGTATAACTCTTATTCGACAAGCTCGCTAACAGGGAATTTTAGGCCTGAATTTGAAATTGAAAGTGCTTTGAAGCGAGAAAACAACATGTTGACAGTCATTTTAACACTAATACTGTTTTTGTGGTGCAAAGAAAAATCTAATTTATCCATGCCATATTCTTACCATACAGTGCACTTAATACTGACATCAGGAAATAAAATGAAAAACACAAAGAACACCAACTGGTTACGTCTGAAATTGATCGGCCACTAGTTCTGGAGTTCAGGGAAAGGGTTTAATAAACAGTTATTTGATTGACGTTCTCTGCACAAACATATATCCTCAAGGTTTGAATTATACCAAAGTTGTTTTTTAAACATCCTCCATGCTGGACTGTTTGACAGACTTTGATCACCTTTGTTTAATCACAGCACAGCTTCCTATTTCCACAGTCCTATCATCCCACCAGCATTGACTGCCTTTGTCTTGCATCTTTCATCTTACTGACTGTTGTGACAGCTGGGTGAGAGGAAAGACCCTGCTGGGTGCCATCATGTTACACAGATGTGTCCACACTTGCATGTTGTGTCTCCCTGAAGCATGCTTTCACTAACTGACGAGAATAAAACCCAAGGCCTGGCTGTAGTCCGCGGCAAGGTCAGACACTTCAATGTCATATCAGATTTATGTTAGTTACACTGGTTTGATCCCCCCATGATAAACATGAGATGATGATGGCATATTGTGGTTTAAATGGATTTCATTGAACATACAGTATAACGCTAGGGTAAATAAATCAGGGCTAATTCCTTATGGTCAGTGCATAGTACAGTAAGTCACGGACAGCATGTCACACATTTTCCCCAAGGCTTGTCAACTGTAGTGCAGATTGTTGTACATCAAGCGTGGCAGGATGGTGACATGTATTAAGGAGACAGGAACTATAAACATTTTCTGAGAGCAGAGAGAGGGGGTGAGCCAGAGTAGGAGGCCATCTCAATGCACACCTCAGCAGAATGCAGACAATAGATCTGACGTTGCACCTCTGTGTGATTGACAAGTAAGGTTAAAATGTCAAGGATAGTAATTTCCAATTCAACAGAGAAGGGGATGTATCAACCTGCAGTAGAGATGCTGTGTAACTCATTTATTCAGGATGTTGAATACTTGAATAATAATTTGCCATTTTTGTGTATTACCATTTAACAAAGAGATGTCAGTTTCCATTTATTGGCGGTACTGGAGTTTTTAATCGTATCTCATTGACGGCAAATGGGTTAGGGTTAACCCCCTAACCCTAACCCTTTGCCCAGTCGTCATTTAATTGAAGTGTTACATTTTTCATTTTTCCTTGGATTTAAATTATTCCCCTCCATTGAATACATCAGAAGGGCAATGTAATCCAATGAATAACTAATAAAAAAAAGATAATTCCAGCACCATTTTGTCAATTCTGGAAAAATATTTGACGTTTCGATCACAATAACCCTTTCTCTAAAAAATTTGAAGGTCACCCTCGGTTGGTTTGACCGATGTAATCAGTATCATGGTATGTTATTCTCTAAATTCATGTATACAAGGGATGTGTGTTTTTCAGAGTTTTAAGTGTACTCATTAGATCACATGTTGTTGTTCAATCATGTGAAAGAACATCTGACTCTGCTTAAGGAGGTTACCATTTTTTTTAACACGCCTGATGAACAACATCATGTTTGAAATGTTATGACACGAAGGGCTGTAATTGGACTCGGACGATTTTCTAATGTATGTCTTGTATCCCATGAGTCTTTAAATCCTGGCAAGAAGGACAGAAAAAATGCAGTAGGGTTATGGTTAGATGGTTAGACCGTAAACACTTCACTTACTTATAGTC